AAAATAAGAAAATTGTTAATGATTTTTAATACATAACCTGTTCACTGCCTCTAACGTATCTCATAACACAGTAGAAAATGAATAGTAGACATACTATAGTAGAAAATGGACGGTAAATATACCATAGTAGCATCGAATATTGTTTAAACTTTCGTTCATTCTGCCATGGTTTCAAGCGTATAAAAGCACTTTATAGAAACAAGTCTATTGCCACTTAGATTAATAACTTTTATGTGCTTGTGGGATTTCCATTCTATAAAGGTAGATCGGATTTCGTTTTGATGAGTCTAGAATAATTACCCTTACATAATTTGAAGAGGAAGTCACAAATAGCCTACTTGATCTCGTAAAACTTTAAAAGCCCAACCCGCGATAATTCGTTTGCAATACTGTATATACTCAAATATAGGGCGAGTTTTAATGATCATTTTTTTAGGCAAAAATAGGGTGTCGAACACCGTTGTTTGTTTTGTTTTTTTTAGTTTTTGTTTTTTAAAGAAGTAAAAATTACGCAATTTGGGGGAGGGGTGGAACTACATACAGGTAAAAAAAATCTGGTCCTGGTTAAAATATAGGCAAAAAAATCAAGAGACCCACTATACATGAACTCGGCTTGTGCACGAATATATACGGTATTTTTCTCTATATACACATATCTCTGACAATTTATCATTATCGGCCTTTTATAGAGTATTAAAAAAATGTCGTTCCTCTTCCGGAAGTAGGTGATCATGGCTCTACACAGTAATCTTTTTCTTTATCATATATGAAATGCTATGCCTTTTTTTTTTTTTTTTTTTTTTTTTTGTTTGGTTTTTTTGGTGGGGGTTGTTTTGGTTTTTTTTTTTTTTGTAAGATAGTGCAGTCGTTTCCCGTTGCCTTCTCCAGCTTGGAATTTAGTTTTTCCTTTTCTTATAGTGGCTGCCATCCAATGCTAGAGAGCTCAATCTACTCAACTATTTAGGCCATAGCTGGGCGGGGAAGAGATGAGTTCATGCCTTTTTAAGGACATTTGTGCGAATATAAGCCTAACGGATTAGCTGAAATTTGAAATCGGCCTGCCGGTTTCACAAGACTCTCTACGTTTTGAATGGACATTATAATGTTAAAACGAATTAGCATTTGGATATATGAAGTCTTCAAAGAATACGTAAATCCCCCCCCATATTCTTATACGACCGATGCATTTGAACCCCTTAACTGCTACGTAATAATACCCGACAGCCAGAAATACTACAGATAAAAATTATCCTGTTTTGTCTCTCAGTAAACTGACTCACTCTCTCACTCACTCACTGTCACACGCACACGCACTCACTCACTCACTCACACACACACACACACACACACACACACACAGACTGTCTCAACCACTCACTGTCTCTCACACACACACACACACACACACACACACACACACACCCACACTCTCACTCACACACACACACTATCCACCTCTCTCTCTCACACACACACACACACCACACACACACTCTCTCTCTCACAATATAAACACACACACACACTCATCCACTCGCTGTCTCTCTCTCACACACACACACACACACTCGCTCACTGTCACACACACACACTCACTGTTACACACTCACTCACTCACTCACTCAAACTCTCTCTCTCTCACTCTCTCTCTCTCACACACACACACACACACACACACACACACACACACACACACAGTCACACGTTTATTTAGGCAGCAAGTATTCACACGAATAAATTTTGTTAAATTCAACCGATAATGCCTGTCTCTTTTTTTATTGTCCTTTTCCAATTTTTGAATAAGATGTTGTATATTAGCATCGGAATCAAAGTTAAACTATTTAAAGTTTAATGCTTTGTTTTGATTAAGTACTTTCGATCTTCAGTCACATTATGATATTCAATATTTTGTTAACTGGATATTTTGGCCTTGTTTAGATCTCGTAAATTGAAAATTGATGTCATATGTAACGGTTACTTGGAAAACCGTATGGAGTGCAGTCATATATGGTTAATTGTCTTATTTATTTGTTTTTTGTTTTTTTTTTACGGCTTATCAACCGTATGTAGGTTATTTAAAACCGAAATATAATTTAGATTATAAGAATATATATATTATTATTATTATTTATTTTATTTTGCTTATGATTATTGTATTAACAATATTTTAGAGATAACAATAATTATTTCCAGTGACAGTTTCTACTATTTAATCCATAGCTGGAGAGAAGAGATGAAGTCATATATTTCTCAAATGTATTTGGTCGTCAGTGAATGAAACGAACTTGATTTGAATTCAATATCGACTTTCCAATTTCTCATTCCGAACTGCTTTCCGTCGTAACTTTCCAATGGTGGATTTTACATATATTTTTACACACAGGTAGACAGACTAACATAGTTCATATAAACATAAAATTATATTTATTGTCACATATTTTTGTTTACATTTGATACGCCATGAGCAGTTATGAATGTACGAGATTCATGGAAGATTGAA